GCTGCCCATCACCCCCCGGTGCCACCGCCGCCCGCAGGCGGGGATCGCCAGACAAAGGCCCGCGCAGGTAGGCACGAGCTGAGCGTTTTCTGTCGTTTCTTACGTAACGAACGACAACAACATCGTAAAGGGGGGGAAAAAATCGTCATTGCCCAATTCTGTAATTTTTTTCCCAAGTCAGTTTGGCGTCGCAGTGGCTGTATGTTTTGTACTGTGGGCCAGCTTGTGCTGTGTCCTCGATAGGAGCATATCTTGAAAGTTGCTGACGAAAACTTGCCTTTCAAGATGAGGTGATATTTATTTTTTATTTTTGGGTTTTTTTTTTTCATTTTTAATTACTAAAACGGTTCTCCAATACTTGAAACTAACATCACTGTGCTTCTGATCAAAAACCTCCCAAATGAGTACCCCAGCCACAGGCTTTCTGTCCATTGTACCTGCTATATGAAGTAGCAGCAAAGTATGTAAAAATGTAATATTCTTGGTAAATGCATAAACTTTTCTGCTACTTGATTGTCGAGGCCAAGTACAGCCTTGGCAGTGAGGCTCTTTTGGAGGTACTGTGGTGTTAAAAACAACCACTTTTTTTTTTTTTTTTTTTTGTTCTTGTCCTTGTAACTTGAATGATTGCACTTAGTTTCGTTATGTTTGCTCCAGTGTGTATGTAACCTACTTTGAGTTATCTTTGCCCTCTTCAGTAATTAATTAAATCCAGAGCCTTGCTTGAAATATTGCTATGTGCATTGATTTTATGGTCCTTATTCAATCAAAATGTTGACTTTGATGGGAAACTCGAATGAACAAGGATGTGGTGTTTTGGCCCAAAAACCTGATTTAAACCAACAAGTTCAAGTTCTACTGAATAAGGATTGTTAATAACATTGGCCCTAACAGTTGCTGTTACAAAAGTTCTCACTTTGTAGATGTCTTTGACTGTTAAAATGCTAATAAGCTGTAGAATATTCTGCTTCCACTTTAATTTACTTTATATTTTTTAAATCGTGCTCCAAAGGACGCTTAACTAGCTTTCAAAATATCCAGCTTCCTGAATTTGCATCCAAAGCCTCAAGTTTCTGCTGTTTTGGTGGGGGTTGTTTTGCTTTTTGTTTTGAGCTTTGAGGTGGGAATTTTTTGTTTTTGAGAAACTCATGTGAAGGTATCCAGAAGCTAAGAGTCTTCCCATGGGCACTATGAACTTACACGACCTCCAAACAGCTTATCTCCTCCTTTAAGAAGGAACAGTATTTGCCTTGCTTTGGATGAAATGTATAGAACATACAGACATTCTGTCTATTGCAATAGAATCACAAGAGAGTCTGAGAAAGATCTCAGCACCATGCTGCTTTTTCCAATCCTTTATCTTGGAATAAAACTCTTAAATAAACCTTTAACTCATTTCAAATTGACTTATTTTAACAAATAGTTATGCAAACTAGGCTTATGCAATAGTTTTTTTCCAGACGGCAATCTCACTGCTGTTATAACATCACTGTGATGCAATAATATGAACAATAAAATCCTCTGTTTGAGTCTTATTACACACTGTTAAGCAACGTATCTGACTCATCAGCTTAATTGACTCTTCTAGGTGACCTTGCCATGATCATTGCAGCCAGTTACGAGATATAAATGTGCTTAGGCTATGTAATAGAAAAAAAATGCAAATAGATGGCCAATTCCTGCAGTCCAATCTAAAAGAAAATGACAATTGATTTCCGTGTTAGTATTTTACAGTATTAAAGCCTTACCTTATGGTATTTGAAAACATTTTTTTGGTAGCTACAAGATAATGTAACTGTTAATACTCGTGATAAGCACGACTGTCAAAAACAAGATTGTGTAAACAAGGGAATACTTAGTCTTGACTAAAAATGTGGTAAAAGCTGTGTTATTAAAAAATTGTACTATAAAGTAGATCTGAATTAAAGCCATCTTCGATACCTTGTGGTTTTTCCTAATTCACTTGTTGAATTGATCCTTGTCCAAAATAGCATACTATGAGATTGAATTTTGTGACATATATTAAATATATATTCTATTAGGAAAAAGGCCTTATTTAGATATGGCTTTTTTCCCTTTCATGAGTTGCTCCACCTTGGAGTAATTTTCAGTGTGTCCTGCAGTATTTGAATAATTAACCAGTTTTTGCTATAGAGGTGTCTGCACAACAGCTGAGAATATAGATGCCAGTGCTGCAAGACTTCTCTTTGCAAATGGAATGCAATCCAACAAAGAAAATAATGCTCAGCATGGGCAGTGGTCTGGACCATCTCACAGAATTGGAGCTCTAAAGATTGCTATTTCTCTGCTCTGTCTGCTGTGAATGGTAGATAGCAGCAATTTACAGCCAGCATTTATTTTATATATTTACTTCAGTTGTTATATAACAAGATGCATGTTTAGAGCATCAGCTGGGATTAATTGACATAATTCTGCTGCCTTTAAATAGAGCCATATAAATTTAGGTCACCTGAAGGTCTGGTCCATGGTTGGCATTTTTAGAACACAGCTCAATAATAGAAAGCTATTTGTTGTCAGAATAATTAATATTTGATTTTATGGACTTTTTTTTAATGGTTTGTAACTAAGGGAAACCTGAGATTGTATTTCCAGAAGATGGTTGCTATTAAGTTATAGCTTTTCACAGTCTAGTTCTTCCTGCTGTCAAGTAACTATTGAAATGAGAAGCATACTGTCATAGTATTGTAACTTCAGTAACAGTTGTTTCTACTGAGGCTTTATTAAAATACTGGAAAGTGATATGGTATTATTAAATTGCATATTTACATGTGTATACTATATATATATTATATATATGGAATTAAATATTTACCCAAGATATATTTATTTCCTCCTCAGTTTTAAATTTTTACCTGGTGCTGTCAGTAATATTCTTAGATCTTGTTTTTCACCATTTGAACCAGAGCAATAAATAGCTTGTTTTGGGAAACATGAACAGATCTGGGAGAATCATACTGTCTTCACAAGGAAATAAAAGAAAATTTGGCGCAAATTGGCATTTATTAAGCTTCACTGACCTTTTCTGAATAACAGCTACCCTTAATGTATGTTTTGTGCTCTCCAAGTAGAAATTTTATTTCTGTAATTTACCTTCGGTAAGCAGGCCATACTTTAATGAGTTAATTTGTAGCTCTTAAGATAAACTGTAACTTAAGTAATTTTTCTAACAAAGAAAGCCTTTTGTGAAAATTACATATGACATCAGCTTTCTGTGTACAACGTGGAGTTGGGTAATATGAATTTGCAATAGTATTTCAAGTTCCATGAAAATCTTACTTACTTTTTCTTTAAATTTGATTGAACAGTGTCACAATAAATGATTTCGGATGTGTCCGATGGAATATATTTTGTGGGCATATTCAATTTTTTCCCTTCAATGACACGATCAACATTTTAGCAAAAGTGGGTCATCTTGTACAAAGTTATCTCATCAGTGTTCCACTGACCTAATTACACACTGGTCCTGAAACAGTAAGCACTAAGCACTTAGGATGTCCATAAAGGAGAAGGAAACTGCATACAGGAGCAATACTTCTGTATTTCTTCATGCTGTTGTCACTTATTCGCGGTCCCTATGCATATTACTAAGTAACAGCAGAAATTGGGGCAATATTCCTATTGTAAATGCTCTTTCCCTTTGTGACTGCAGATAACCTGTCCATCATAGCATAAAATGCAGCCACCTAGATTTTCTCAAAAAGTTTTAACTTCATTTGGTCATCATTGTCTAGACCCTCTGTCCGAGGGATATCACTATTTCAGTGTATCCAGCATTAAAGCTTTTCTTCAACAGGAACATGAACTCACAAACTGTTACAGGTAATGGGCAAGGAGGAGTTCAGTGGAGATTGGAAAGACCCTGGATTTCTGGATTATGATAGGTGTAGAGTTTCATGGCATAATTTTTGTCCGTGGAAAGCAGTAGAGGTAGAGTATCTCCAAAATTCTTCAGCAGTGTTTAGGGAGGCTGTGCATGCACTACCTGAGCTTAAACTCAGCTTCCTGTCCCATGTGTGTGATGAAAATGATATTTTTTCTATACCTCATAAAAGTATTGAGATAGATAGCATCTGGTTTTTGAATACTTTGAAGATAAAGTGCAAGATATATCTTTCAATTTTCCAAAATTTGGATGGCAAATTTTTGAATGGTAATGATGGTAACTTTTGAATCTATGAACAATTTCTGTAGTAGTTTACCTGGTATGCAGTCAGATTTTCTAAATTGATAAACTGGGGCAGAAGGGTGGCAGTAATATAATTAAAGATACCTATGCAAAACATGGAAAACATCAACTGAAAATAAGCAGGGACTTTAAGACTAGCGTAATTGTTTTTCTAGAGTGTGCCATATAGTGGTGGTGGTGATAGAAACATGTTTTTTTTCCGAGAACAAAAGAAGCTATACGTAACTGTTATTTTCTTCCATTTTTAAGGACAGATATATATTCCTTTTGTAGACACAATGATGCAAAACTGAATTGTGTTTGAGCATCCAGTGCGAGAAATGGGGTTTCATTTAGTGTGATAGAATCGCTATCAAAATGCTAAAGCTGTACAAGTAAACAGTCATTTTATCCTAGGATATGTTTGAAAAATTATGCTTGGAAATAGCTTGAATTATTTTGCTAAATATAATTGAAAGCATGCAGTTACTCTATGGAGAAACTTAGGTACCTGAGGAGGCCCCCATATATTCTCTAAAACAGAAATTATTTATGTAACTAAATTACACAGAAGAGAGCAAGCTTGTGGCCTTGTCCTCCAAACTTTGAGACCTTTCTATTATTATAGTGTGAATATGTAAATCCTCAGGATCAGATCCTGAATGTGCCATGTTGTCACTTCAGTATCTTTGGAGTCCCATAATATTTGTGGTTTCTGCGTGCATAATTTTTTGCTTCAATAGCGTGAGTCCTATACAACAGTCTCATTAATACTTGGATCTGTGATTGTATTCTGCTTCTGCTGAAGTCAATGGCAAAATTGCTGGGGGAGCAAAACTGGCTTTGTAATTAAGTTAATAGGGTCGAGTGTTATTACATTGTAGAATTGGCACTCAGTGCCATTAACATCAACCAACCAAATGTTGGTTTTATAACACTTTATGAGGGAGTGATAAAGCAATTGAAAAATTAATCATAAGGGAAAATATTGGAATTTGAAATGTAGTCAGAGGAATCATTACAGTTCATTAATTTATGTTTAAATACTCATGTTTTCCAATGGAATTATAAAATGTAAGTGAAGTGAAGGGAAATGGCTGGTTCCATGGAAGGCATGTTGCCATTATCATCAGATGGAATTTAATTTGTTTACAGATTTCAGCATTGGGCCGATCCACATGAAGAAGTATTATTAAACAAGGGTTTTGACTCCTGTTTGTAAAACCACAGTTCCAGTCACCATAATAAAAGTGCTCAAGAAATACAGAAAGAGTTAAAGATCTTTTGTTGTTTGGTTTATTGACAAAAGTCATGGCATTAGGTGTGACTGCATAAATAGCAAACCCGTATGACTGTGTCAGTGGGTTACATGTCTGTCTTGACAGCTTTACTGATGGACTCTGGCAGAGAGCAAAGTTGAATATTGCATGCAAAAACATGGTTGTTTTGATACATGCTTAATGTTTGCTGTGGATTGCATGCTACTTACATTCTGTCTGTTTGTGCCAGGAACAATGTGTCCAGGAGGGAGACTGGCCAACACAGGAGTTAACAGTGCTACAGTGAGCAGATTGAGCCATTCCAGTGCACGGTCTGCAGATGTCCCATGGAACAAGGGACGTGAACTCTGCAGCTGGTTGGGCTAAGTTCAGCTCAGTGCCAGTCTTAGGCTTGCAGGAGGATATTCGGACATGCAGTTGAGTTTTTATCTATCAATATGGTCATATTGATGAACCATGTCATTAGTCTACATTCACTTAGGGAAAAAACAACCCACAATCCAGAAACTGTTTTGCTAATTATTATTACCATTATTGGTATTTTTCCTAGACCACAGTGTTGGACAAACACTGAAGTGGAACAGCTTTGAGCTGGAGACCATACTGATAGACATGGTCCAAATTCTTACCCTGATACAGTCTTGTTCAAGACTAAACATTGCTTTTATATCCCATGGAAATTAAAGATGGGAATATTACAGGTGAAGAAAAAAGGTATTTAATCGGTGTAGGTATGGTTTTGTTCTCCTAAAATATCCAGTGATTCTATAAGTACTTCCTTGCTTATGCTACCATTTCAAGTAAGTGTAGATGTTTTAGGCTCTATGGCACATACATATATATATGTGTGTGTGTGGTAATAATAATGATGACATGCATATTAGTGTGTGTTTTCTGGGAGAACAAATATTTTGATTTGAATGTAGCTCTCTGGTATTGTTAAATTCAGTAAGAGATGTGGACTGATAAGGGCATGAAATTTCACAGAAGTTGCTTTGAGCACTTTTTGCTTAGGTGAGAGTTGGCTGAAACATATAGTAAGAGACAAGTAATGATTTCGTAGGTATTGGTTACATGCTACAATTTCCTGCTGCATGCTGTGGAATGTGTGTGCTACTGGTACAGGTGAATACAGTGATAGTAGTGGAGACTGCAGTAGTCCCAGTTCTACAGGATAATGAAATTAAATCCCAGTATTCTATTAGTGTAAAATGATGCTGCAGAGGCTGAATATTCTACAAATGTGACAAAAGGTCAAGTGGCCTTGTCTTCTCTCTTTTTTTGTTGTTTTAAAGTTTCAGCAATGATTTTTTGAAGTGTTGAGTTACACTACGTTTAAAATTATATACATATTAATTAAATAATTGATTCCCTGAATCAGTTAAGTGGACAAAATGTCTATACACCTACTTCAGCAAATCAAACTGTACTGAAGATTTGGAGAAACAGATGTTGCTTTGCTGTAGGGTTCATTTTTATTTTTAAACCTGATCCAGCTCCTTCAGTGTTGACAGAAAGCTCCCTTTTGACTCCACTTGAATTTTTGGATCAGGGTCTAGCCATGTAACTGTTTGTGTACTAGAGGTACATTTCTTCTTTTCAAACATGACAATTTGTGGTGCTGCTTTTGCATTAAATTATTAGATGATGTCTTTGGTGTGGTAGGCGTCTAACTCTTTTTTTCATTAGGGCTGTATTATCAAAGAAAAATAGTTACATGTCAGTAATTAACCATGGATTTTAGGAAATTCTACTTAGTTGTTCTATTAAATGTGTTAATTTTTTCATGACAGAAGAATTGGCATGGTTTGATGGAACAGAACCCAACTTGAAACCTTAGTCTTTATGACCCTGCTTAATTGTTACTGCATCACTCATTCCACTTTGCCTTCTGGAAAAGACAAGAAAAACTGGCAGAATAAAATTAATTAATTCTTTTATAACTTTCTTGACTGATAATGTTAAAATTAGTTTCATCAGTCATGGTAAAAACATTCCCAGTAAATAGAGACATTAATCTGAAGTGGCTGAGTATTTAATTTTTTGGTTTGTTTTCTGGTCATACAGACAAGAATGATTGCTGACTTGATAGCCAGTTCTACAAAAGCACTTGGCATACTACATTCTTTTCACCAGGAACATGATTGACTGTAGAAAATTATATGCTAAGAAGCTGTGTATAAGATCAAGACCAAGTGATCTTAGCATTTTTGCATTAAAAGGCACTAAATAAGACAAAGGCCAATATAAACTCCTAAGTTCAAATTTAATGATTAAAATGTCTGAAGCTAATGGTTAAGCTAATTTTTATTTCTTAACGGTAACACTTCTGGGTCTAAACTTTTACTTCAATGTGAATACTGTTTCCTGGAGGTGTGCATGCCTCAATGGTATTAAACTTAACTTTGACACTTTACAACTATTTGTCAAATGCAAATTTTAATTAAATGTATTTTTCAATATGGATTTTAACATTTTCTTTGTAAGATACTAAAAAATTACATAATTTTAAAAAATATTTTTAGTTAATTACTTTCCCAAATTATGAGTGTGAACTTGCTAGTTAGAATTAATATGATGGATACAAACACTTATAAATATATATATATATTTATATATATATATATTTATATATATATATATAAATATATATATATATAAATATAAATTATTATATATATATATATATATAAATTGCTGCTCAAAAGCAGCAATTAAATGCATAATAGATAAGCATTGGATAATGGATAATGGTGGTACTTTAACGCAATAGAAAGCAATCCTTCTTCTCTAAATCAGCTTATATTATTTTTAATCCTTGAAGGACCCAAATATATAGCATTTCTAAGTCATACACCACATCTGTTTTCGGAAGAGATGCTTTAATGTGGAGCAGGACACTTTGCAATGCTGCTCATCATCATGCTTCATGTCCTGCAGTTTAAAGTGTTGTAAGGTTTTAGTTTGGCCAGTGATGTCATGGAAGATTCTGTGACAGCATTACTGTAGGGCCAAAATTCAAATGTTTTTTAATTGATTCTTCCTTGGATCATATAATATTTGTTTTGGAAACAAATCTGCTACCTTTAGGTGTCATGAAATTTAGAATATCAGTAGTTTCAGTGTTGAGCTGTGTTCATATCACAGCAGGTTTAATGAACTAAATTCTTGTATAAAATATTTGTCAACAGCTATTTCTGTGTGTTTTGATCCAGAAATTCCTAAGTAGTAATAAAATTCTCTATTTATTTCAGGCTATTAAGAAGATTCCCTTTGAATCTGCTAAGAAAATTGGTTCTAGACAGACTTTTGTCTGAGATTATGAAAGAAAAGGAAGAATGTGTGTGGATTTAAAATTTCTTTATTTATCAAGTTGTGGAGTGAGAAGTACTGGGGAGATAGCTTGCTCTGTTGCTTATTGTAGATCTTCTACAAATTGTTTCTGATGCAGCTGAGAAAAATGCAGACCCTTAAAAAGGAGCACGGACCTCTTGACACAAGTGGCAATGTGGACAAAATCATGGTACTAAAGTCGACCTTAGCAGAAGTATCTGAAGAATTGTCTACAAATGAAGATATACTACTTACTGAAGCAAGTAGTGGAAAGAGCAAATCTTCAGCTTGCCGGAGAAAGCGAGAATTCATTCCAGATGAAAAGAAAGATGCTATGTATTGGGAGAAAAGGCGGAAAAATAATGAAGCTGCCAAAAGATCTCGTGAAAAGCGACGACTGAATGACCTTGTCTTAGAGAACAAACTAATTGCACTGGGAGAAGAGAACGCCACTTTGAAGGCAGAGCTGCTTTCATTGAAGTTAAAGTTTGGTTTAATTAGTTCTGCGGCCTATGCCCAAGAGATACAGAAACTCAGTAGCTCAACAACTGTGTATTTTCAAGATTATCAGAGTTCCAAATCAAATATTAACTCATTTGTAGATGAACATGAACCATCTATAGTTGGTAGCAGTTGTATTTCTGTCATTAAACATTCTCCTCAAAGTTCAATGTCTGATGTATCTGAAACATCAACTGTAGAGCATACCCAACCAAATCGTATACAAAACAACTGTAGAAGTCCTGAAAATAAGTTCCAGATTATAAAGCAGGAGCCAATGGAATTAGAGAGAGAACCAAGAGATGACAGAGGTTCATATAAAGCATCCATATATCCAAACTACATGGGAGCTACCTTTAATGTGTACTCACATTCTCCTCCTCTCTTGCAAGTTAATAGGTCCTCCAGTAATTCCCCGAGAACGTCAGAAACTGATGATGGTGTAGTTGGAAAGTCATCTGATGGAGAAGATGAACAGCAGGTTCCTAAGGGTCCAATTCATTCCCCAGTTGAACATAAAAATGTTCATGCAACAGTTAAAGTTCCGGAAGTGAATTCTTCAGCTTTGCCTCACAAGCTTCGAATCAAAGCCAAAGCCATGCAAGTTAAAGTGGAAGCAATGGATAATGACTATGATGCCACGCAGAAGTTGTCGTCACCCATTGACATGTCCTCAAAAAGACATTTTGAGCTTGAAAAACACGGTGCGCAAAACTTGGTGCATTCTTCTCACACTCCTTTCTCGGTTCAAGTGACTAATATCCAAGACTGGTCACTTAAACCAGAACTCTGGCATCAGAAGGAACTCAACGTTAAAATTCAGAGTGGTTGCAAAACTGGAGTTGTTGAAATAAAAGACAATATCTACAATGTCTCTGAGTCAGAGAATCTCTATTTGAAGCAGGGCATAGCAAACTTATCTGCAGAGGTTGCTTCACTTAAAAGACTTATAACTACACAAATCTCTGCATCAGACTCTGGTTAATTTACTACTGAAAAAAGGCTTATTGTTTCAAAGGATGTCATTTGCAGTAGATCAATATGTTTTGTATGATGCTGAATTTTCACTGGACTTGTGATGTCATTTCACTGTAATGTTCACATAATGTCTGATTGGTGTCTTTTTGTGCACAAATTATTATGAAGACTAGGTTGTGCTATGATCACTATGCCTTGAGTATAGTCAAGTAGCCTGTACAAAGGCTGTATATAGTGGACTTTAATTTCTTTTTGTTCTACTACAAAGCGTGCAAGTTACCAGTTACAATAAAATATTGGTGACAAACATAGAACATTTACTCCAGTTCAGTTGATTTTATGAACTTGTAAATAAGTTGTTAATTAAAAAACTGGGTTTTTTCTTACACTGTGCTCAACTTCACTTACATTTTTGGTTTTTGCAGCCTAACAACCAAATTACAATTTACAACATGTGTAATCCTTCTGGCCACCTTTTTCCTTAACATGTTTTTTAGAAGAGAAGTAAAGTGAATATTTATAAATGAAACAGTACCAATTTATAGCCTTAGCCTTCTTTAACTTATTTCTTAGTAGAAATTAACCAAAAGCCCTGCAAATTCTAACCCAGTAACTAATATCAACAACCTTTTTTTTTCTCCTTCAATCTCAAATGAGACAGTAATGAGTTTCCTGAATGTTTTAGTGTGACAAACAATTTTTCAATATTATAACTTGGTGTTTTAAGTGAAATTAGTTAAATCAGATTTGTGCATCTGCAAAGTTTTCAAAGCCTTGCAGTGACACAATTGGACAGCACCATCTCTGCCAAGGGGTGGCTTGCATCTGCAAGGGGTGCAGGCATGGAAAGTCAACCCCTCTTGCATACCAGCATTCTGTCCATGGCAGACCATGGGCCACCTGTACATGAAGTATAAGGCTACTGGATTTGTAAACTCTGAGCTCAGCTAGGTAAATACTTACACAAAGGCTAGGCAATAGCAGTTGCAGAGTTAAAGATCATCTGCTATTTTTGTTCCCAGAATGGGACATAATGCAATTATGCATGAAGTAAGTCTTGCCAGCAATTTGTCCCTGGTTTCAATGGCTTAATTAACTGAACTGGAATACCTTGGCTTGCTAAAGGGCATTTTGCAAGAGCTTCTGAGATGTAAAATAGAGGCTGTGTGAAGAACTGCGCAATCTAGACACTGCTAGCCCCTTACAACTTATGCGGATGATGAGTTCTTCACTTGATGACTGGACAGGGCTGTGGTGCTCTTTGTCTTTCAGAAGAGCCATTGAACCATGGAGTCTAGAATTGTATCACATATCCTTGGTTCGGCTTACCAAAATCTTTCATTTTAAAACTAAAATTAATTCATAAACAGAGCATAAACTTGGCAGAGGTTCTTTTCATGATACTTCCCCCTTCTTTTAGTGTACTAATAAATCAGACTAACAAATAAGCTTTTTCTGAAAAGGCTTTTTATTAATTGCCATACTGTATAATGAATTGAACCTTTCCATAGGCTTAAAATACTAATTAACAAAACAATATGTAGGTATTGTTTTTTTAAATTAATACTTGACTTGAGTGAGAGGAAGTTTGTCAATTTTTTGGGGATATGAAGAGGAGTCTGAGTCACTCCTGATAGCTCTGAAGCTTGGTCCAGCAGTCAAGGCAATGGCAGAACTCCCTGATGTCAGTGAGGACAGGATTTGATTCTGTGCCTTTTCAGGAACTGATGATTCAGTTGTGTTCTGGGAGGACCTTCGCACAGAAATCACTGGTACTTTCTGAGCTTTTTTGAGCCTTCTAACTGCTGTGCTGTATTTGTGGCATTCAGAGTTGATAAACTGCTATTCTTTTTTCATGCCTTAATAATACAATAGACCCCATAGCTGGGCTCTGTATGTATTTGGTAATTAACATAGATGACATTTCAATGTTACTGAAAATAAGCTCAGGATTATTGCATGAAATGTAAAAATTTGCATTGAATGATGGGGATATGAAACATGAGGCAGTTATGGCTACTGTCTCCTTGCTTGCTAAGTATCTTCTGTAAGCAACAATAAAATTCTTTAAATATTTTGCATATTATTTATCACATGTAATGTGTTCAAGGAGAGGACTTAAAACTCTCAGTGTTGCCATCAGTGTAAGCCTGATCTATTGGGTTTTTTTCCATTTCTTGTTAGAATTGTTTGTCATAATGGAAGAATGTTGTCCTCTTTCTAGCTCATTATATATTTTGTGTATCTGTTTTGTGCAATTAATACTTAACAGTAATGATGTAGTTAATTTGTTGAAGGATGTCATTGCAAGAAAGTTATAGCATGGAGCTTAGGAGCACAATCAGATGTTATTTATACTCCCTTTATACCTTAGTGTTATGCTTCATTTGAAGAAAGAAATAAATAATTTGTCTTTTGTTCAAAACCAAATCTAACCTACCACATGCTTTTCTATTATGTTCATCATCATAGTCCAACACAGGGGCATTAATTTTGGTTGATGACCGATCTTCCCGAGCTGAAGTTGCTGTTTTTCCATCTTATACCTGGAATATCTTTCGCATACCTATTAAAGGTACAAACTGCAAGAGTGTGGGTGGTACATGCAAAGCCCCATTATTGGCTACAGCTGCTGACTCTGAGCTGCTCAATTGCAGTAACTGTGGTGTAGGTGACCTCCTCATGCAGTGCCCTCACCCTGCTTGCCCATCTTTAGCCTGCTTCCCCTCGGGATGTGAAATGGGAAAGATGGAGTGTCAGTCTCCCTGTGGGGATGGGGAGGGGGAGAGTGCAGTGGGACTGCCCTGCTCCAGCCTTCAGCTGGTACACAGCTATCTGAGGGTACCTGACAGCTGTGCTCTTCCAACTGCCTTCCTTGCACTGCAGGAAACATGAGCAGCTTCCATGGAAAAAGTATCCCTGGTTGGCCATCTAGTCTCTCAATGGGACATCAGAAGGTTGGTTTTGAGCACAAAATGGACTTTATCTAAGTGTGAATAAACTGGCAAAACATCCTCTAACTTACAAAAATTGTTGTAAACTCAGCAATTGACAAAACAACATGAAACATGGCAAAAGGGGAATCTTTCTCATTTTAGTGTCTTCAATTACAAATGTTAAGGAAGGCCACATACAGAAACTGATAATTCTGAGACTTCTCAGTATAAATTCTCTTTAATGATAACTGTTAGTGTGAAGGGCTTCATGGAAAGTAAAAACATGACTGTTGATTAGCAAGGTAAACTTTATCATAATGATATAAACTGGTGGCTAATTACCAAAGCAAAGTGTGAATACAGCTTGTTCATTAAATTTGCCTAACTTAATTGGGTATAAACACAGTAATATAGCCCCATGTTCTATCTGTCAGTGCCAATATATGCCCATACATAAACTGAGTCCAAATGTTATGATTTTCTGAATACTCTGAAATTTCTATCTTCAGTGAAACTTGCGTATTGCATGGGATATATGTAAATTTTATTAATATTCTGTACAGCCCAATATGCCCTTGTTCAAGAATCCGAGACAGGTGACTGACAATTCCTGATAAATCTTCTCTTGTTATTTTCTCCCTAATGTCTATTTGGGTAGTTTATGAGACCAAAACCACATCGGTGAACTTAAATGCAAAATTGTGCAATAAACACATTCCTGAAGTTTGGTTAAAACAGCTGCTAAAAATCTTTTCTACTTGCTAGTACATGAATATGCTGTTGAAAATTGTATACAGTGAATTTAGCAAGGAACTCTGAGAATACAATTAATATGGCCTTTATTATTACCATATTGTTGAAAAGTACTTCGATAGTTTATTGCACAATACAAGATTGGTGACTACAAGAATGCAACAAAAGAATTTTTGGTATTTCTTGCATAAGAACAAGTAACATACTGTTCCATTTCAGTGCCAAATCAAAAGTTAAAAACACCAGGCAGAATCCTAGGGCTTTTAACTCAGTGTTAAGTTCTACTTCCCTTGAAGTAGATTTTTTCTGTGTACAATAAGGCACTCACTCAAAAGAAGTAACATTGCCAGGATAGACATTTTACAGCTCCCTCCTGGCACAAACTCCTAGTGATTGTTCTATCTGTAAGGCTACCTCTCATGACAAAATAGTGATATATAAGTCACTTTATACATATCACTGGAACTGTAGAGAATTTCCTCACTACAAAACAGAAGGTACCCAGATACTCAACTATTATTTATTCAATGACAGCTCTAGAAGGTCTTGGTGAATTAGGAGCAAAAGGTCAGAGAGGAGGCACAGTATTTATTTGCTTGGAAGAGAAAGTGTCAAAAGACGTTTGGTTTCAGGACTCCAAAAAATAGTGGGAATGCTTCTATGCTTTTTATTAGTTAACCAGCTACTACCCATGCACTGATCACAATGCTGTCACTAGAGTTATAGTAATTCCCTCTGAAACACTATGGAGGTCCACAGGATTACAAACAGAAGTGCCTGGGAAGAGCACAGAGCATGGGACTTTGCCATGATTTGATGTGGGTTTGTCTCCTGCATGCAAGCATCCTCTCTGCTTCTAGTACATCTGAAAGAGACCTTATCTGAAAAAGCCTGCATCAGTTCAAACATTCTGAGGAAGCTAAATGGCCGTCTAATACTACCAGCATTCAGGTAACAAGTCCAGTATTTCCTCCACCATCCCTCACTCCCCTGACAAGTCAATGCACAACCCAAAACATTAGCCAGCTGTTAGACCTTTTCATGTTATTCAGATTCTTAGATGTGCAAGTGGGCATCTCACTTAATGACTTACACATATAAAACAATCAGGCTACCCCGCTATCTGTATGTGCCAGTGTTGGTATCCATTATGGTACATTCTGAGGCATGATGCTAAACGAGCTTCTAACAATCTGGACCTCCAAAAATTATCTTAAATTTGGTATATAAATATACTGAGAACATAATGCATTCATTTCCATGGCAGTTCTGTTATGAAACCCTGAAAGCTGAGACATTAATGCTTTGTATAAAAATCAGAAAATATCAAAGCGTAATATTATATCACACCTAAGAGCTGAAAAGATGGTAAAATGCAATGACCTGCATTGTAGCAGAACACTGTTTTCCTTTCTGTGTTCTTGACAGTATAGAAATGAATAGATAATACATGTGCTCAGTAAAAGACTTGGTGACGTATGTTCTATAAAAGCCTCATGGTTAAAAATGTGAACAAGCAAACAAATATTTGTGTAAGCAAAACTATATTGGACAAGTGACAATAACAGACAACATATATGAACTATCAGCATTGCATGGGACTGGAAGGAATTGTTACATTTTCTCATTTTCTGTAATGAGATTACTTAAGCAATAAATTCTTAGCTTTTTCTTTAAAGAATATTTATGTCACTGAAAATAAACAAAGAGGGAAAACATCACTTATTTGATGATTGTCAGGGACCTACAATGATAATCTAGTCCCACTCCCTCACCATTTCAGGGCTAACCAGAAATTAAAGCCCTTCATGTAGGGCATTGTCCAAATGCCTCCTTTTAAGGCACTGGCAGGCAGGGAGCTTGTTTCAGTGTCTGACCACACTCTCTGAAGAAATATTTTCTTAAGTCCAGTCTGAACCTCTCCTGATGTAGCTTTGAAGTATTTCCACATGTCCTGACACTGGATCCCAGGGAGAAGAGATTAGCAAACCCTCTCCACTCTCCCTCCTCAGGAAGCTGTAGAGAGCAGTGAAGTCACCCCTCAGCTCTTTCTCTCCAAACTAGACAAACACAAAGCTTTCAGCTGCTTGGCATCCATCTGGCACAGGCAGGCTCTCTCTAAGCAGAGCAGAAATACCAGCACTGAGGCTTGATCCGGACCAGCAGGGGAAAACCTGTGCTGAAGGGCAGTATGGGTGCCTTGTCCTGGCTGCTCACCAGCTGTCAGCCTGATGCATGTGCCAGTCTGGCATTGTCCTTTCCCAGGGGCTGGGCTTTACACTTTCCCTTCATGAACTTCTGGGGGCTCCTGACTTGGCAGGGTATGACCCTGGGTGACACAGAGAGCAGCACCAAGGCGTGACCCCAGGCAGGGCAGGGAAGTGGTCACAGCCCTAGCGAGGCTGCACTGGGCAGCACAGGCTGGCAGGAGAGCAGAGAACCAGGATGCGGGGGCAGGGGCTGGCACTGGAGAGCTCATGAATGGCCTGGGATGATGGGCTGTGGGGCACAATCGGGACCTGGAGATCCCTGTGCTGGAAATATCTGCCCTGGGGCTGGCTACAACAATGGGCCTGTAGCTGGCCATTCATTACATGTCTGATGGGAGAATAAAAAGGACAGAAAGGGCACCTGTCCAGCTAGTAACGTTGAGACTTTTTTGAGTTTCCATGCACTGATTTTATTTGGATAGCTGTATATGGGGGACTGGGAGCCCTAGAGGGTTGGTGCATGCCCCAGCTGGTGGCTAACCCCTGAGGCATCCTCCAAAGTCACAGATGCAGGGGTGGCTGAAGAGTCCCCACAGCCGCTTGCCTGCCTCTTCAGAGGTCACCATGGCCCTTCAGGAGAGGGGTCACTGCCCTGTCTGGAAGTGGAGACCCAGAAACAGACTCCTCTGGCTCCTCTTGGGGCTCTTCTTGCTCCAACAGTGATGGTAATGGGTACAGAGGGGTAGCTTCTGAAACCCCCATCCATGGCAGAGGAGGCGGTGTTGGGCACCTCATCCATGGTGCATCCTGCAGGGCTGTCAGAAGTGCTGGCACCTGGGCAGGGAGGTAGGGCTGGTGGGTGAGCAGACGGCAGGCCTCCCTGCTGCACTGTCGCACCGCCACACGGATAAGCTGTTGCACAAATGTCGCCGCATGGTTTTGGAGGGAGACCCCCAGCATCTGGACCAGCTGGTCTTCATCAATTCCATGGTTGGTCAGGATGTCCAGGACAGTGCCCTCCACGAGGTCTGCCTCCATCCAGTTGTTCCTGAAGATCTGCCTCAGCCTCGGTCGGACCCAGAGCACTAGGGCTTCTAGGAGGCATGGGTGGTCCCGGAAAAGTACCATCCATTCCCCAGGCTGGAGGCTGCCCACAGGATGCCTGGGCACTCCTTCTGCAGACCATGTTTGGGATGCTCCAGAGAAATGGATGTCAAGGTATCTGGGGTCTCCTCTCGCCTGGTGGACAATGATGGATGGTGCCTCAGATAATGTAATTACATGCTCTATGTAGTTATTTTCTGTCTCTGTGGAGTGCAGGATGGATAGAATTCTCCTCTTGCAGAGGGGGCACTTGGGTGTGTTCTCTGCCCACTGCAGGATGCAGGTGTAACAGAATTGGTGCAGGCACGGAAATATGTAGCTGATCTCCTTCAAGGTGTCCAGGCAGATGGGACAGCAGCTGTCCATCTCGGTGGCCATGCTCTTCTCTGCAGTGGCCTGAGGGGAGCTGGGGTTATGAGTTGTCCCTTTCACCAGCATCGTATCAGCAAGTTTTACTCTAGAAGGGGAAGAAGAGCTACGGCTATTGCCTGGACCCAGAAAGAGTGATAGAAATGCCCTGGTCCTCAGGAAGGAAAACATCTCAGCTCCCCAGACGGTTTCACCTCCCAGCTCACCTCTGCTGGTGCAAGTGCACCTCCTGGGTGCAGATGTCTCAGATGCCTGAACCTGGCAGGGAGGGAGAAAATCTTTCAATGGCTCTGGAGTTGAACACGGAGAGCTGCAACAAAAAACTCTCCTTGCACAATGACATCAAAGACCTCACTCAGCACTCCAAACCTTGCCAAATGCTCAGGAGTCGTCACAGATTGATAGAATGATTTGGGTTGGACAGGGACCTTCATGATCATATGGTTCCAACCCTCCTACCATAGTCGGGGCACCTTCAACTAGAACAGCTTACCCAGGGCCCCGTCCAACCTGGTCTTGAGCAGCTCCAGGGACAATATCCACAGCATTCACAACTTTCCAAGGCAACCTGTTCCAGTGCCTCATCACCCTCACAGTAAATAATTCCTTCCTAATATCTAATCTAAACCTACTCTCTTTTGAACTCATTCCACCTTGTCCTGTTGCTAAATGCCCTTGTTTAGTCTTGCCTCATCTTTGGTGTAGGTTCCCTTCAGGTACTGAAAGGCTGTGATAGTCACTCCAATGCCACCTCTTTTCCAGGCTAATCTATCCCAATTCCCTCAGCTTTTCCTCATAGGTGAAGTGCTCCATCCCTCAAATCATCCTGGTGGCCTCCTCTGGACTCACTCCAACAGCTCCATGTCCTCCCTGTGCTGGGAGCCCAGAGGACTGGGCTGCAGGTTCCAGGTGGGCTCTCCCCAGAGCAGAGCAGAGGGGCAGAATCCCCTCCCTGCCCTGCTGCCCACGCTGCTCTGGATGCAGCCCAGGACACGTTTGGCTCTCTGGGCTGGGAGTGCCCATGGCTGGCTCATGTCCAGCCTCTCACCCACCAGCACCCCCAAGTCCTTCTCACAGGGCTGCTCTGCATCTGCTCATCCTCAGCCTGTGTTGATACAGGGATTTGTCCTGACCCAGTTGCAGCACCTTGCACTTGGTCTTGTTACACCTCATGAGTTTCCCATGGCCCACTCCATGAGCCTGTCTAGGTCCCCCTGGATGGCATCCTGTCCTTCAGATGTGTCTGGGCATGAGCTGGCTGGCTGAAACTTTGTGCTCAGCTGTAAGCAGTGAGGGATGTGGGTCACAATCCATCCTTCAAGGGCATCACAATCCATCTCCAGGTGATATCACAATGGTACCATCAACATCCATGGTACACCGTCTCAGAACATGCATCTGGGATTACCTCTACACCAATGTCAACTTCATTCCCCACCTTATTCTCACACTGGTGTTGCAAGACAGTCAGTTACACTGAGGCCTTGGCTGTGCCTCCCCAGAGTCCTGCCAGTTTGCTCTGGCCATGACAGACATCTCCAGGCACATGAAGCATGAGGGCTCAGTCAGCAACAACTGGTGCCCTCCTGGGAGGCTGCAGGACAAAGCCCCATAGATTCTCCACACACCCCACAGTGCTGGCCACCCCTTTGGTCTCTCCTGCTTTCTCCCACAATGTGTCACAGGCAGCATTCGCCGTGCTCTGGCATTTGTTCTTCTACCTTTGTTCTCTAGCTGGAAGGAACTAGGGTGATTCCCTCTGCTCAGCATGGGTCAGACCTCATCCAGGCACTGAGTCCTCTTCAGGGTCCTGGAGGCAGATTCACAAATAAGATAGGCTCCATCCTTTACAGTAAGGATGCTCTGTGAAGCCACGGCTGGTTCAACATGGAGCAGACAAGGTGTTGGGATATCTCACAGCTCAACCCAGTGTTTCTAAGGATGGAGACATCCCATATCAAAAGAGTGGGAACAGATTCATGGGAGGGTGAGAGATGGTGGTATCTACTGAAACTAGAGAGTTTCAAACTGGAATAAAAACAAAGGAAAAAAGGAATAAAACCAAAATTGCTGTAAGAATTATGAAGCACTGAAGTGAGTTGCCCAGGTCTTCAAATCCTGAGTGGCCATAACTCAGAGCACAACAGTCACAAGCCTGTGAATGGATGCTGGCTGAAGTCCTGGAAGAGAAAGCATTGACAGTAGGAAACAAAGCAAAGGAGTAACAGCTTTGAGAAGTTTTTAAATTTCTACTTGCATTTGGTTAAGCATCGTTCACAAATTTTTAATTAGGAGATAATAGAATAGTTCCAGTTGGGAGGGGCATACCAGACTCATCTAGTCCCATTGCCTGATCACAGCTGACAAACAGTTACAAAGTGTGTTATTGAAGGTGTTGTCCAAATGCCTCCTTTTAAAGCATCACCAGGTGTGGGACATCAACGATCTTTTTAGGGCGTCTTTTCTTGTATGCAACCACCTTCTCAATATGGAAATGCTTCTGAATGTCAACAGGCCAGTTCTTCACTCAGCACAGTGTTCACCTGTTCATCTCACAGCTGGACAACTTGTCCAAAAGGATGCTCTAAGGGACAGTATCAAAAGTACTATGAAAATTCAGGAAAACCACATCCACCTCTAACTCTTTACCTACTAGACAGGTGACCTAATTGTAGAAATGTCTCACATTAGTCATACAGGGCCTCCCTTTGTGAACCGGTGGTATGCCTGATGCTTATGTTTCCTTGAAATGGCTTTCATGACTAGCAGTATCTTCTCCACAATTTTTTCCAGGTGCTGAGGTCAGACTCACAGATCTGTAGTTTCCTTGTGTCTTCCAGCACACCTTTCTAAACTGCAATGACTGGCCAACGTCCAGTCAGTGGGCACCTCTCTGGGCATCCATGACTTTTGAGTGGGGTCCTGCTGTCATATCCAACAGCTCCTGCAGTACTCTGGGATGAACCTCACCAGGTCCCACGATGTTATGAACAGGTGATATAGCTGGCCCCTTACAATTTCTGTGCACAAATGGAGAGTCACTGTTCCTGCAGTTGTGGTCCTTTGACTTTGAGGTCTTACCTTATGAAGGGCTGAGGGAAAAAAAAAACATAATACCTTCAGTTTTTCTTTAGTTCTATTTGTCACAGGACCATCTTCAATGAGAATTGGTCCGTTGTTTTCCTTGAGCCTCCTCTTGCTACTAACATGTTTTACAAGTTCTTTCTTGTTGTTGAGTGCAACACTGGCCATATTCAACTTTTATTGAGTTTTGGCCTTGCATGTCATCTCCTGTGTTTGTGACATATATGATCTTCCTGCAAGTTCTGATCTTACTTCTATATATCATCCAATCTTTTTCTCTTCTTGAGTTCCAAGAGGAGTTTCCTGTTAAGCCAAACTGATCTTCTGTCCTGCTTGCTTGACCTGTGACACAATAGGATGGCCTGCTTCCACACTTATCAACAGTGGTTCTTTAAGGCTGACCAGCACCCATAGAGGCCTCCAAAGCATATTCCTAGGGACACTGCAAAGTAGCCCCTTGGGTAGCTGAGAATTTGCTCTCTTGAAATTCACAGTAGAAACAGTGTTGCACTTTTTTGCTCATTACATTAAGAATTTTGATCTCAAACCATTTCAACCTCACTGTAGTCAAGACAAACAACTATCATCACATGCATGAGTACCTCTCTAGAAACAAATAACATATTTAGGAAGGCATCTTTTCTAGTTGGAGGATTTGTGGCAAGAAATTATCTTGAAGCAGCTCCAGGAATTGCCCAGACTTGCTTGTAACGTTAGTATGGTATTTGCAGTAAACGTCTGTGAATTTGAAGTCTCCCACAAGAACAAGAGCTAACACTCCAGAGATTACTCTTAATTGCCTATAGAATAACTCAGTGCTAGTGTTAAAAAGGGTATGGAAGGGAGGTACAGTCTTTTGGTTTATATATTAATCCGATACAATTTCTGTATCAATAAATTTTACTGTAAGTCCAAGCAACACAGTGACAGATACATGGAAATCAAAAAGAATAGTTTATATCTCAGAGTCCACTAGGGAATTTTCTCTTTCTATACTGAGATTATACTATGATCTATACTTGAATATGATTCATGTAATATCTCTGCACTAGTCTCTCCACATAAAAAAACCCCAAAAGCGTGGCCTGTAGGTGACATTCAGAGGGAGGAAAACCACTTCTGCAGTCTGAATTCTTTAGAAACCACTCTGGTTTTTTTCATGTCTCTCATCTTCTTAACAAGTGCAGGTTGAGAAGGAAAATGTCCTTGCTAAAAACGCTACAAACTTCTCACTTTCATGTGTTATATTTGATGTGAATAAACAGTTAAGTACCATGTCAGATTGTACAAAAAGTCAGGTTGCTCTCAGAAGATTATAAATATGATGTCATATAATGAATCCAAGTAGTGACAAAAGCCTGAGGGTCTCCTGGTTCCATGCTATCACTATGTTTCGATCTGTCGATGTGACATTTGTGAATCTGATGTTTTCACTCACTCACTTGCTTCATACTTTTGTTATTTTTTCTTCTGATAATCCTGCTCACCTTAAATTCATGTGATAATGTTTCTTAAGGAAAATATTCTCTTTTTGTTCAAGTGTGGCCTTAAGAGATTACAGAAACCCTTCAGAGACTACACACCAGTCTTCTCTCTCTTCTTCAGTTGTACATACTATGTCTTCAAAATTGACTGGAAGTGGCCCTTTTTCTCAGAAGAGCATTGGAGTCTATCTGGGTAACAATGGACTTAGACACACTGCTGCCACTCCAGAGTGATTTCCACATGTCCCACAATCGTTGACTATGAGGTATTTCTCTCCTGTCAATTCCCACAGGCAGACCTGAGAGTTTCTGTCTGTAGTGGTAATGAGCTACCTGAAGATGTTTCACTTTCTCATCCATTGCAGGTAGTTATATGCTCAATTTTTCTACAGGTTGCTGAAGTTATCTCCTGAAATAAGGAAATCACAGTCATTTGTCCAGTCCCATGAGCAACTGCTGATTAAAATCTCAGTTTAGCCAAAGCCTATTGTCTTGATTTCAGCATCCTTGCTCAGTTTGAAATGTTTCTTTCTTCAGCTATCTTTATGGTCCTTATCAGTGTCTCCTCAAAAAGCATTTATGGGCTCTAAGCATAAATGAATAATCCCAGTTAAATTTAAAAATTTAAATGTTTAGAGTTGATCCTAAAGAAAGCCGACCTTGTTTGTTCCTGTTCTACAGACTATATTTCTCAATATCAAGCTGAGAATTATGGTGTGTTACATGGAATGCTCTACATCTATATCTTCTTTTTTTATCCAATTGAATCCTTTAGATCATGAAGAAAAATATGCTCATTTGAGAGGCAGGTACTCCTTAGAAAGATATTCAAGTGTTTGGACAAAAGGCAGATTTGTTTTTAGAAGGCTGCACACACACACATTTGTTTACTCATTCTCTTTTCAAGTATCCCTTTTTCAGCTGAAGTTGCAGTCTTAAAATATCCATAAACCAGTTGACTGCATATGGAAATGGTAGTTTTCCTGAAGTGCAGTACAGCGTCTCATCGGAACTTCAGTCAGGACTATTCATGGTTAAGGTACTTAGGTAAAGGAAAAAAGAAATATAACTACAGATGCCAATAGTTTTTATTTAAATTCAAGGATGACTGAAATTCCAAGTGCAGTCTGCAATTCAGTAAAAAGATTGCTAAATCTGAGATATGAAAAGAGAGACAGGTTACTGGAATTGGAGGTGTTTTTCTTGGAAATGGTACAGTCTATGTGTTTGCCTATCTGTCTATTTATAACATGAAACATGACCCAAGCACATTTTTCCTGTGCAACATTTTATTAAGTGTTGCACGGCTTTTGAATACTTTGGTGATGGTGAAATGCACTCAAAAGCTGCTACGATGAACTGACCCAGTTTTCTCTCATACTTGTCAAAACCTCTTTAATAACAATAATTATAATTAACCAGTTTATTGTTCCATCAGGTTTTGAACATGAGTTGAAAAGAGAACGGCAGGGAGTAATTTTTGTTTCACTGAAAGTGCATTTCTGTAGCTCTCCAAGCTGTTTTTTCAGAGTTTGATGCAGAAGCAGTGTCTACTCAAAACTTTTGCTAAATTTATGTCTTAGTACATTTCTGAAGCATTCACTAGAGAAATGGGAGCTCTGATGTTCTTGTCTGTGACCATTTTACCACTCAAAGGTTATGGGAAAGAACATTAAAATGGGATAAAGAGCAACTGAATTTGCAATGAAATCAAAAGAATTTCCCTCAGTATAGCTGATTAAGTACAGCATCAGGCAGAAAGTTAAGTAAACATACAGTCTGAGAAAAAAAAGAAAAAGACCCTACACTGGGGAAAAGATTCCTTTGGTTCTTAGAAAAAGAATTGCTAGATGGCAAGTCTAATTCTCTCAAGAACTTTCTTACAAACTTTGCTGCAATTTCTGTCCTCAACATTTGGAGCTTATCCTGTCAAGTAGAAAGTAAAATGACATGCAGCATGAGAGAAACATTTCAGTTTCTATGACAAATGCCACTTGAACATGGGCTTTGCTTTTAATTTAGAACATTGTAAACACACTAGGGGAAACTAGGGTTTTGATCATTTGCCAAATATTGCACAAGTATTTAGACTAATAAATAGCCTTCTATAACAGGAAGTGTACTGTATATTTTATGTGTTCCCACAATTTTTAAGAGAAGACTCATCCCTTCTGTTTCACAGATGTTTACAGAGAAAAAGACCCTAAACTAGATAAAATAGCATATATTATTATCCAAAAAACATTTCAATCATCAGCTAAAGAATTAGGGAACATTAAGAGTACTTTATAAATAAGAGTACATTTTAACTAGAGGATTTTGCCCACTTAATAATCTTTCAGACCCCAGGTTAAAGTCTTGTCTTACTGAATAAAATGAGATAAAATGAGATGTATAGTTAGGAAAATAATTGTAGGATCAATCATCTCATTATTTTCATTGTGAAAATTACAAAGTAAAGCACATTCCAGCTGTAAGGAAAACCAACTGGTCTAATTTTCTATGCCATCTTTATAACATGTGGATCAAACCTATGAAAGTCCACTGAACACTGTATTCTGTCTCATATTGCTGTTACCAAAGATATGATATGGATATAGAGCGAAGGGTTTTGTTTTCTAAACTTTGCACTGTACTCTCTTTTTTGTACTCAAAATTTCTCAGGAACAACCTCTGTGCCTTCTAGGCTTGACAAAAGCTCTCTTACTCACATTCCCTTACCTTTCATCTTGGAGGCTGATACTATGGAAGAAGCAAAAATAATTCTAAACATGTGAAGAATGGTTCTACTTGTAACCCTCCAAATTGTGGGGAGGGGTGGGTGGATCTGACAATGTAGGTGTGCGTGGTGCATATTAGATCAAGGAATGCATGGTTATCTTTATTTGGGTTTTCACACAACAAAGATGTTCTGTGGTTAACAGAGGTAACGTCAGCTAAATTCTGCAGAAATTTGGTGTGACTTTGGGGAAGTTACAGAACAGTATGCAGACTGCTCAGCAAGTTCTTGGAATGCATTAGTAATAATGTTTTGGTGCAGAGAGTAACGTATGCAGTAGTGAAAGAGATTTAAAGTTTCATTCTCACCAAGGAGTTTGAGAATGTTGAGAGTGCAAAGTAAAGGAACTATGGACTGTGACATGAGGGCTGATTTACTTTTAAAAAAGATGGTGCAATGTAACATGAAATCAGCAAACCGGAAAAAAATGCAGAAATCAAGGCATCAAGTCAAAGAAGTAGAAGTTTTAGTAAAACTGGTAAAGCAGCGATACTAAGAACAGAAAGTAGGGAAATTTAGGAAGGCAGCAATTTACTTAATGATGGATTTCACTGGCATCAAATATAAGCAAAACATACCAAAGGTGGAAAGTAGGTTCAGGTTTGTAAACACATATGGAGATCTGAGGTAGAAAACGAGTGAAATACATCACCAGGAACAAGAACATCAGCACTGTAAGGCTGAGAATTGCTGCCCTGTTGCAAGAAAAAGGAAGAGAAAATAATGGCAGATAATGCACAAAATTCATGGGTTTCATATTTTTTGATTAGCATTCTCTAACAACATTATGATAAGCATGAGGTCAAGACAATATCTGTACAGGACAGCATGAGAATAATTCACTGAGCTTGATACTTCCAAATTGGCACCTGTTTCATCTGTTAATACAACCCATTAATACAACTTCAAACTAATGATTGATGAAATCCTTCCTCAAACAATCATCTGAAGATATCTCAGAATTTGTAGTAGCTATTCTTGAGTAATGGGGTGAAACCCTAGGGAGAAAAAAAAAATAGATTGCTTCTTTTAAAAATGGGAGGCACACTGAAAAATTATGAATCAATCTACTAGCCAACAATACCAAGTTAGTGAGGAAATGGGTGACAATACATAGGAGTTCATCATGAACACGTGAATCCCTCTTACTCTTCTACAGCCCCTGCTGGCTATAGAGAAGGGAAGAATAAATAGGTGGTATATATCTTGACTAGTGTAAAGATCTTTTTTCTCACATGACAGATGTATACTAGGCTAGGTATGTGTGCTCAAGATGAAACTGCTAAGATGGGGATGGAAAAGCATGTACATGAAAACTCAGGGTGAGTTAACAGTTTCTTAATCTAAACTAAACCTGGAGCATATGGTATTTTTCAGTAGCCTGCACCTAGTTTCCTAGGTCAAATATTTTCAGTAAAATTTCAAATTGTAATAATGTGCTTATAAAACTTGGAGACAATCTGATGCCATAAGAGACTGTGTAAAGTGAAAGAGATTTAAGACTGAAAATGAAGTTGCCAAATTGGAAAAAGGATAAGCAAATGAATGGATGATACTCAACAGTAAACACAAGACACTTTATTCAAATGAGTATGTTCAGTTGCACAGTTGTGTGATGAGCATAAACTGCCTCACAACAAGCCTCCATGGCTGTGACCTGTGACCTGGCTTACCAGTTGATCATGAGTTATTAATTCATGATGTTGGAAGAAAGGCACATTGAGACACATGAACAAGGAACAGTTTAGAAGATGTGGAAAAAATTCTGCATTATTATGGCTCTGGGTTTTTTCAGGTCTGGACAGTACTTTCAAAAAGAATACAGAGCAAAATCCAAAGAGCAGAGAACCCAGAATAGAGTCATGAAAAGCTCACCAAATGCAGGGCCTACACAAAAAACTGGGAAAACTAAGGTTACTTAACCTGGAAGAAAAAAAAAGACCAAGGAGTAATACAGACAAGAACCTTAATGTACTTAAAATGTTGTTGCAAAGATAAAGATAATCAGTGTCAATTCAAGGATGGTAAGATGGGAAGCAATGGGAAAAACAAAAGCAAGAAAAGTTAGAACTGCTCAATAAGAACAACTCACATTAAGAATGTGTTGGAAAGTGCTGGACCAGATTATTTGTGAAGTCTCCCTTGCTGGATATATTTAAAGGCACCTTAGATGAGGATTTGTCAGGATGTTAGTTTTTTCGGAAGAGGGGATAATTAGTCTGTTTCTTGAAGCTCCTTTAGTGCAACCTTTGTGCAGTTCTGTAATCTGTCTTTGCCCTAGTTGCTTATCTCAACTAACCTTCTCTGCCTCAGAATAAATGTATAAAAGTCAGTATTTGCAATGTACTTGGGAACAGTGCTAATCAGATTGCTGTTTTATAAGTATAATAAAGAAACAATGTTTAGATAATTTTCAAGGAACTCATGCAGTTATCTACAGCTATACAAACTATGAGTGACCCTGCTTGAGAAAGGCTCAGCTGTACTTGGATTTACCACTGCCAGCAATGTCATAGAATCACAGAATCACTGGACATCTCAAGCTGGAAGAGACACATAAGGATCATGGATCCCAACTCCCTGTTCAACATAGAATTACATAAAAATAAATGTATGACCAAATTATATGTAGTAGTGGAGATGCCACGGAAGTCAGTGGTATGTAGAAAAAGGAATATTCCCAGTCCTTAGAAAGAGGGGCAAGATGGTTGTATTGTTGACTGTCTTACACTAAGTGTTAGTGTTTTACTTTTACCCCCACCTCCTGTTCATCAATTTTTTTTCAGTTTATCACTACTCTTATAAATAAAAACTTACAGAGTGAAATTTAGTATAATTGGATGGCATATTATTTTTATAGCATGTAAAAATATATATAGAGCCATTTTGATTTATTCTGGGTCTGATTTTGGGCACTACTGAAAATTTACTCTTCCCTTGTAGTACAAGAAAATGTCAAAACAGTAGTTCAGCTATCTCTGCTCTTTGAATGCTTTTTGAATTGTGGCTCTATTCGAAATACATGTTTTTTATAATCACACTTTTTGAAAGGAATATTTGATTTATAAATTATTTTCATTATCTTTAAGACTTGTTATTACATTGTATCTGACTCCTACCTAATGAAACACTTATCTCACCTCATCAATTCCTGTTTGAAAGGTCAAATCATTGCTATTTTTAAATTGCATAACAATAAGAATTATATTTGTAAGAAAACCCAATCTCTTTTAAAAAACTTTAGCTCATTGGATGAAAATTTGCCTACAAATCTAAGAAGGAAGTTGATTTACTTAAAAAATGCAGATAAACAGAAAGCTGTGATAACTCATATTTATGATGTGAAAAATCTGTACAGCCCAATGAAGGTGTTTTTGAAACATTAGTTAGGCTGTAGTAGTAGAAATACATAGGAATTACTTTGGAAAATACCATTGTTAAGACAAGGTATTTGTAATACCTTCGACTAGACATTAATTTTTTATTTCCAACACTTTTCCTTACTTGGACTTCAGATAATGAATCACAGACACCAGCATTGGAAAAATCCAGTAAAGTCACATCTACCACCAATGCAACAGGACATACCCTTCACTATTTTTAGCATAACCTAAAAATTGTGAAATTATTGCACTGTTTATATTGTAGAAATGCCCTTGTCTTCATTGCATGAATCCGATTTCTCCTAACACAATTTAAATACAAGTTTTCTATTTCTGACTGTACCATGTACCACTGTAAACACAGATCTAACCAGACTCAGTATCCTTCCTTGCTTTTATGAGTCACTCCTTCTCAGTCAACTTATTTTTTAGGGAACATGGGCTTCTCAGAGTGAGAAGCTAAAAATTTCTAAAATTAAGACCTTTCTATGTACTCAGATTAAAGCACTTAAAACCCATAGTCACTTCCAAATGCAGGTGATTGGTATTGCATTATGCCTTTCTAGTAACACAGTTAATGAGACAATACATCTAAATTAACTTCAAGGCACAGGATGCAGAAGAAATATTCATAATTCAGATTAAAATGAAACATAAAAAAATTGAGAAAACATTATTTCACACTTTCCAGGATGAAATAAAGTAAAATCTTGTCCTTAATGTAGTCATAACAGATACAGCCATTCAGTTCAGTGGTACCAGGATTTTTACTGTGTTAATACTTGAAACATATTAAATTAAAAGTATTTAATACTGAAATACTAAAGCTGAAAACACTGCAGAGATTTTCTACAATTATTTTTCAGATAGCTGAATGAATAAAAATATTACCTTTTATGAATTACACAACAATAATCCAATTTCAGTTGTCTGATTTAATTTAAACCCCCAAATAAAAAAAAAATTACAGTGTTTTGTAGTAAAATTTTCTGATGTACATAAAAACTGAATATATATTCTTTCTGTTTAATCAGTTAAAAGACAACACTCTCTTTTTTTTCTTTTTTATTTTTTTCCTTCTCTTCCAATGTTTTGTTGTTTGTCTGCCAAGTCTTGTGAAAGGAATTACTTTCTTTGGAAATCTTTGGAAACTTCTACATGTATAAAAGAAAATAATTCAGTAGCATTATAGCATAACAAAAATTATAGCCAGCAATGTTAGGGCATAACTGGGGAATTGAATCTGAGCACTCTATGAAACCATTTAGGGTAAAAAAGCATTAGCAAAATGCACATAATTTTGCTTGTGTAATTTGTCATTAAGAAGAGAAAAACAAATATGTCAGAGGTGAAAGTTCAATTTTATGAAGAGTTGTTCCTGTATCTTTAGTGCTTATTAGGAGGGAAAACTGCAGGTCTTACAATCAGTTTTGGCATTTTCCTGGGAGAGGGTGAGAAATTTCCTCTCCCTTTGTAGCAAGCATCTTGCAGCAGTTTTGGGAGCTGTGGAGATCAAGACCGCATTTACTTTCCATTTGGCCTCATGGAAACCTTGCTACTGCGATTCTTGCATACAAGTATTCTTAGAGAGGCAGGATAAAGAAAGGTCATCTAAAAATTACCTGAGAAATTTTACAGGTCCTTTATGACTGACTAGCCCAGTGCCCCAGAAAATTAATTGATCTTACACAATTTTGCTTGAAAACTTTTACAGGTGCGTTTAGACAACAGAAATTGAGAGTCAGGGTGAGTTTGCTAACTAATTTTTTCCTCCATCCTTGATGCCTCTCATACAGGTGTCTATGCCACCTTGAAGCAAAAGGTTTTTTCCCTTTTTATGTCTAAGGTCAGGCAACCTTTCTATGGGAGAACATGGCCTGAACTGATGCAAATAGATCATACAATGTTATTCATATTATTTTGATAATCTTGCATGAATGAATAACTTCTTACCTTAGAGCAGAACTTTGTTCCTCCAAGGGGAAAAAAAATGTAAATGGGCATAGTCTGTACCTTGTTTTCGTCCTTATAGTCCATATATAGAAAATGTAGCTTTAAAAGTGCTTTCAAACATATTTAGCAGTTATTTGCATGGATTTAATTACCTCTATGATACTGCCTTTATATTACCATATGGCACTACTTTTCTTTAAGACACACTTGCCATGTTTTAACATGGCTTTCTAAATTTTATGTCCTTCAAGAAGGAAATACTACAACTTAGCCCGTTTGCATGACTTTTGACAGAAGGATGAAGTCAGTAAAAGGCACATCCTTGGCACTCCAGTGATGTCACTGATGAAGTGTAGTACTCTGTAACAAGACAAGGAGATGATAAAAGGGCTAGCTGGCATATCTTTCAAGATAATTAATTTCCTGCAAAAATCTCAGAAATTACTGGGCCATTTGGGTTTAAACTTAGGCAAAGCCTGTGGCAGGTATTCACCATACCAAATCTTAGTTTAAATGGCTACATTTATTACAAGAGTAAACTGTTACATAGTGTGTACAGGGGGACAAATATAGGCAGCATTGTTGTATAGCATGAAATAGTTTTCTGGTTTTTCTCTTCAAATATGGAAAAGAAACAGTGTGTCTGTATGAATAGCTCTGTGCCAAAGTCAGCCTCCAAGTAGTCAAATGTCTCTCATCTACTCTGCATCCCACACACAAGTGTGTGTGGGAATGCTTGTGAATTTAATGAAGTGCTGACTGAAAGAAGTTTATGCCTGGCTTCCAATTAAATACTAATAAGATAAGTTCAGGCAGCATAAACTCCTTGTTATTATGAAGATGGATTATATTAGCTATCAGCAACCTCTGACCTCCCAACTTTAACATATTGCCAGTATTTTTTTTTCAGTGGGACCCTCCACTGATTCCAATGAGGTTTGGATTGGTGTCTTAGATGTGCAGCTGTTACTATTACAGGGTAAGTATTCAAATACCACACAAAACCAGTACCAGAACAGGTTTATAAATTTATCTTGTACAAGAATCTAACCTGGAGGTAGAACAGAAACAAGAGGACATCTAGTCCTTTTCCTTAGTTCTCCCAGGTCATATGTAGCTGATGGCTCTCCATCTCTTCAGATCAAATTGCACATTCCACCGATCTCCTGGCTCCAAGATTAGGCAAGATCTGGGCATTTTTACCTTTTTTAGAAAAGGTACAGAACAAAAAGGGTCTACATTCTACATGTCCACCTGCACCCTTTGTGAGGCCTGCCTGTATGACGTATCTTTAATGTAAGCACTTTGGCCTTTGTTACTCTGTACAAACATGACAGAGGCATCATGATAGAGAATATTTCAACACACAGTTTTTAGGACACCTAGGTGCACTGCTGGGCTCCACAGGTTTTTGGAACCTCCACGAGGAAAAGTGGGCATTTTAAAACTGGTATAGCCAAAAAAGCAATGTAAGCAGGCAACAAACTAAGCTAGACAATAGGGAAATACTGATGAAATATATTTTAAATACTTTATCCCATCCACAAAGCTGTTCAGTCTTGTTATGAAGAAACAAATTGCTTTGCCACTTGATGGGATTTGAACAAATATATTCAGAAGGCTGCAGCAGCTCCTTAATTTTTTTTTCCAAAATTGCTGTCTTCAAATTCTTGCAATTATCTGTTTATTACCTTTGTTGTTAGTTTTGTATTAGTAAAAGTGTAACAGCTGGTTACATTCTATGGTGGGAATGGGAATGCAGCTCACTTGGTGCCACTGAGCATCTTGTAAGTGCATTTTTACTCGAAGACATACTGTATCTGACAAGTCTGACAGACCACATAATATAGCTAGCAAGAAGTTTCAGCCAACACATGTAATTGAAGACTTGGATACAGTAAAAATGACTAAAAAGACACGCAAAATCTGATTTTAGAGAAATGTCATTTTGTGAACATACCAACATTAATATGAATATCTCTTTAAATGGTACTTCAATTAACTTTTCCAGTAATGAATAAAGAGTATACGTACCAACTCTTAATTAAAATATATTTATTTTCTAATCATTAACATTAAAAAACCCACTTATAATCTTCACTTCTTGTTGACTACTGTGTCTATTTTGTGTACTTTTGTTTTGGTATATGTAATAGTTCAATGTTGGTTATATGATACACTTGTACATGTATTTTACATACAATTCTAAAAACAACATTATATTTGAAACAGAAATTTCCTTCAATAGACTTCAGTAATAAAACACTTACTCTTTGTATATCCCTATGTATTTTTCCTTTCATGTTGTTATCCAAGCTTTAGTATCTGAATGATTTTCTTCTTCTCCAGTCAGTTTTTAAAAAAATATTTGATTGCGTTATGAAGTTCTAAGTGAATTTGTAACATTAATCACTTCCATGACAACAGACTGATGCTTTAAACACAGGATTATGATGAATCCAACACAGGATTGAGTAAAAGGGAAAAAGATCATGAGCAAGCAAGATTTCATTAGACTAATTAGAGTCTAGATTTCATTAGACTATTAAAAAAGTGGAGAAAGGAATATAAATGCTGAGTACACTTCCACTTTTTAGCATTAAAATTCTGTACGATGGACCATACAGCGGTTATTTATTTCAGATGTTTACCATATTTGATGTAACCTCTGTGGAACTTGGACATTGCCAAAAATTTCAGACATATTCATTAGTCTTATTCATGTGTACTTAACTCAAAACACGGTGGTTTTCACGACTTACCACAGTGCTCCATAGGCTCAGTAGAGGTAGTTGGCTCTCACCATCTCTGAAAAATCATGCTGGGAACATTTCAGGCTTAACTTTGAAAAACTGGAACACAGGCAACTGTTCATAAATATGGCTGTAGATTAATTTGCCTTAGTAAGTTTTTGTTAAGAAATTCTATATGCTTAATATAATGAATCAAAAAAAGCACTTAAAAAAATCTTTTTAGTTCAGCAAAATCCAATTTACATAATGAAGGAAAAAAAAGGTCTGTCTTCTGCAAATGGCACTCTCTGTAGCTGAATTCTGTTGTTATGAAGGACCTTGAGTATAATGCAGATAAACACATGGATGCAGATTTCTGTTGGGTCAAATACCTACTCTTTATTTTCCAGACTAAAGAGCTACAAGTGACATAAGAAACTTAAGTAAAAATCTCATTCCAGGGTCAAAGCAGACTTCAGTGGTTCCATCTTGCTCCAATCTGATCCTACAGCGCATACAATTGAAACTATACTGAAAAGACTCACAGTAACACTGAGGAATCAGAAGCTGTGCTGACATCAAAACTACAAAGAAAACGACAAAAGTTTTATTCTGTGGTGAATTTTAAGTTTCTGCGCAATTCTGGGAGGATTGCGTAGTCTTGCTCTGCTCAAGATGCATGAATTCACAGAAGTATAACAGATTCCTTTTAAGTTTTGCTGGCAGAAGGTGCCCAGATGAGATAGTAGAAAGATGCTGAGATATTCAATACCTCCACTGCACAAAATATCAATATTGTCATGATTACAGCCTGACTAATACATGGATTAAGAATAATACGTGGAACTGTCCCAATGTACCCAATTGTGTTAAATATATATTTCAGTTTTCAGTGTTTACTAGCTCTTCTGAACATCTTGGGAACCTTTTTTTCTCTAAGTAGTTGTAAAATAATGTTTCAGAATATAGAAATGCCCCATTCTTGTTCATACTTCTACTTCTTTCACCTGTTGGTAGACTGCATCTTTCACAGGATAATGGCATGTCTGAAAGACTTCAATGAAGAGGAAAACCATATTCTTAACTTTTTTTCCAGGTACACTGTTGAAACAGCACATATGCTGCAAAGTTTCTGAATGTTAGGGGCCATTTTTGAAGCAGAAGGCTGTGGCAATATTAGTTTAACATACTGACTGACTCTAGAAAATTTGGTTTACATTTTTTTGAGACTTATATATGGTATATTGTGTTCTGCTTAGCAGGTAAAACATACTTCATCGTGCACAAAGGAACAGGATTATAATTTCACCTCCCAGACATAAAACAATATACACAAAAAGATAGGTCATCTAGAAATAAAATGCTATGACTTTGCAAACAGGTGGTGTGGTTTTTGTTTTTTTTTTAATATGTTTTCTTTAATTGATGTTTAGTTTTTTAAAAATGCAAAAATTGATTAATATATGAGATCCTATTATTTACAGAACTACAAAAACAAATTCCTTATGGAATGCTGTATGAAGCAAAGTGACACAGAGTCCCCAGGCAGGTGCAAAGGAGAACTGCTTTATTGCAAAAACCAGGCCTTTTTAAGCAGTTAGCTGGTTATCAGTTTACATAGTTTTAAGGCACAACCAATCACCACTATGATGTGGACACAGGGCAGTCATGGAGCTCGTCTCTCTATCCCTATGCCAGCTTACTCACTCTCCCGTAGCTCCCTTCCACTTAGCCTAAGTAACAGGCCTCAGCCATGATTTTACGAAGGTAACGAGGCCTTTATTTTATATAGCCCTTATAAGGCTTTACCTACATGGAACAGAATGCTAAGAAATTAGAAATCTGAAAAATGCTGTGTTGGAAGCTCACTGGCTGTTGGTGAATAACTCTGCATTGATTCTGTGACCAGGCACATAAGTGTATGCTAGCCAGCTAGTGCATATGTTCCTTTGTTTCTCATATGCTTTGTTTTTCATATACCAAATGCTAGGTTCATTGTTCTTGATCTTAAGGATCCTGCTTTCTTACATAGACGAGTGACTTACAATGCAGTGATTAAATAGAAGAAATGTTATGATGAATCCATTTTGACAGAGTCCTTTGCTTGCATAGTTTCCCAACTCATCTACTCTTGAATCCATGTGAGATGGGAAGAATGTGATTATTTAACCTTTGCTCTGTCCTGGAAATTTGAGTCATAAAGTCATGCATATTCTTTGTGACATTAGAAGAATTCTATATGGGACTGAATTTGCTTTCATTGAAAATGCTTATTCAGTTTACCAGAGTATCTTAATTGTATCAGTATGTAAAGAATAAAGAATGCAGAAAAATATAGTTAAGGGTAGAGTGTAAAATGTAATTTAATCTAATGAAAATGAAGAGAAGATCAAAAAAATTCCCATGTTTTCTCCATACAATGCGAAAATCGATGTGAGGCATTCTTTAGAAAGAATGCAATGTATTCAGTAAAACTCTGCACAGCATACTGTTAATCATAAAAGACTAAAAGGGAAAGGTAATGAACACAAATGCATTTTTTGTCGTAAAATGTAAGCTCACATTTTTTAGAGTGATTTGCGCATAATGCATAATATTTTTCAAGCAGTAACTATGCAATTATCTTCTTTAAAAATGCTGCAGTTTTTAGCAAAAAAAGTGAACAATACCTTAAACTTCATGTATTATCTATAGTACAATGACTGCAAGCTGAGTTTTGTTTTTAGACACCCCCCCAAAAAAAACCTTAAAATAATTAGCTAAACAGAAAAGAAATGTAATTATGGTATTCAGAAATACTATGATGTAAGTTATACTTACATCATATGCAAAAATTATATGATGTAAGGAAATACTATGATGCAGCATACATCTTAATTCCTGGCCTGCTCATGGAGAGTAATAAAGAATTACAACTAATAAAAACAGGCTATGCAGTGTTTTTCATTTTTCTGTTACTTTTTTTACATTACTTGAGCATAAAAGACCAGGCTTCTCTTAGATCCTCATAGTGAGCTAGCTTTCACGACAAATGTATTGCTTTCAAACAGAGCAAAGGTTCTTCGTAACTTCTCTTCACTAGAAGTTACATTACATGAGGACAGAAGTATTAAAATATTTTTCATCTCCTCATTGTATATGTGATAGAAATTTTTAATTTGTTTCATTGAGAGTTGTACTCGAATGTCTCATATTACTTTAATTAAAAAGTGTTTAAAAATATAATTCAGATTAATTTCCCCTTTTACTTCACCAAATACTTGCATAGTTGAAAACCTCACTCTCTGCGTTTAGACAATGTTGATGGTTCTGTTTTGATGAAGACAGTATTTGTTTGTTGCAAAATGGTTCTTTCTGTGGGCTAACACCTAGTTCTATTTTATCCTTCTTGACATCACAGATTTGACAATAATGACTGTCTCCTTAGCAGCAGCCCTGACAGCCTTTCACAACACATAAAAGTACCCTGATAAAATTAGGAAATCCATTTTCTACTAGAATTTCATGTCAAATACCTTAAATCAAATGCTGATTATATTAGCGTGTTCTCCCTGGTTTCAGTGCTTCTTGTGCAGCTTCTACTGGCCCATCTATACTACAGTTGAGCTTGCCCTGCCTGTTGCCAAAGCAAAGATTCTCTCAGCACAGTTAACATCACTGCTGGCTCTGGTGTTCTTCAGAACGATATAGATAAGAAAATGATGTATTGCTTCAGATAAAGGTTTGCCTGATCACAAAGAAAAGAAATTATTTTAACAATCTTAATAGAACAGGGTACATCCACTGTAAGAAAAGTACTAAATGATGTTAGATTGGTTTGCAGTTTGCCTGAACGCGTAGTTATTTACCTGGCTCAGTAAATTTTCGGATGTGTTGAGCTACTTTAAAAACATGAGAAAGCTTTTTAAAAAATTTGGTGGAAGAAGATGTATCAGCAAGTACATATTTGAGAGTTGGACCTACATATAAATATATAGTTTTATAAGAATCTTCATTGTCTGTAAATTCTCTGTTTTCAGTACCTGTGTTTATGTCTAACTTCATAAAAAATTTAATGTCCTTTAAGGATAAATTGTGCACCCTGCCTCAAAGTAAAGTATTCTATAAATTTTATTTAATAAATATCTGCTCATATCCAGTTTCAAGTACCTAAGGGCCTCCCTAGGCTCCGATCTTCCACTATTACAGAGCTGTAGCCCTGTGGCTGCTAGTGCAAATTTACTCATGGAAGAGGCCTTGCTCAGCATGTTTGTGTTCCTGCAATTGTCTTAGCATTATGTCTTGTTTGTGATCTGAAGAGAATGCCCCGACAATTTTGGGAAGTAGGATTTTAAGAAGTCCCTGTAATTGGCTCACATATGCCATGCACTTTTCCATTATATTAATCCAATGCAGTTGTCTCTATTTTCAAGATGAAGGAGTATATGCAGAAATAAACGGGGCTGACATTATTCAAAGCCAAAATCTGCTCTGTGCTCCAAGACATGAGCGACACATAGGTAGAGCTTAATAACATGGGCTGGAGCTGGGTAACAAGCTCCAAGTAAGCAAGCTTGTAAGGATACCCAAGTAGATTAAGTTTAGTAGGAGTAATTCCTGAAGAGAAAAAATAAGTTGTAAGAACATTTTATATCATGGCATTACAGTCTTAAAGCTGCACTAAGAAGAAAGAAAATAGACAATCTAAGGAAACAGCTGCCTGCAAAACATATTGAATAGGCTTAGTGCCAAAAAAGGGAACGTGCTGTGTGTGCTATGCTTACTAATAATACATACATAACAAGGGTTATGTCTTTCTCATTATCAGTTTTAAAATATCAAAAAGGTTTTACAAAAGGTAAAAATCAAGATTGGAAACGCAAGTGTACTAACTGTATAACACAATAATCAGAAAAATCCTACTGTTGATAAAAACCAAATATGTGAAAACTAAAAGAGACAAATGCTTCTGGTGGGTGGTGTGGAATTGAAACAACCTTTGCAAACCAACTTTAGAGGACGGATAGCTGACAGATCTCACTCTCAAATATCACAGTCCCTTTACAGAGATGATTACTTTTCAATTCACAAGACAGACAAAGGACTTAGTTTGAAAAGCCAAAATTGGACACTACATTTTTCTCTAAAAATTGCTCCCTTTTTACTTTACCCATTGACACTGATGTGCTCATCCAGAGAAAATGAAAGCATTTGTTATACCTCATCTACATACCTCAATGTAAGGAAATTAGAACAACGTAGAATTAGGTGAGACTCCTTTCCCATATTCCTGCTTCATTGTACATACTGCCTGAACCCTTTAATTGTTCACATTAAAGCTGCATATATAAATGCAACTACTTTTCTGTCTCATTTTAAATGATTTATTAGCATTTTTAATAGCACTAGATCCCTAAGTGAACATCTACAAGTAGTTTCACACTCTTTGGTTTTAGGCACTTAATTCAGATCTGAAGTTTAGAGATCACGTGCTTCTGTCACACCTAATTAAGAGTGAGATTGTTCCTCTAGAAAATGAACCATGGCAGGTGCCATCCACCAACACATGCAGAATAGTATTATGAAGAAACTTCTCTCCACAAACCACATAAACAGTCTCCCAATTTCTGTACCTCTGCCCCATGCTGTGTAAACTGCAATAGTACTGTCCTGACCCCAAGCCCCAACCACTCCCCTCCAGATTACATTATCAAACAAAGGCCATAATCAAGCTACCAAAGGGGCTGCACATTTCACCTGCCAGTTTCAGTCCTGTACACTGTGAGAACCTGTAACCTGATGTAAATAAGGTTTTCAAGGCAGCTTCAAATGTAACATTAATTAGGGTGAAGGACCTTCAAGTTTTCCCCTCGGATTAGACGATGACTGAGGCTGTACTAGAAGCTGAGCTGAGCACAGAGAATTTCGTGAGCTAGTCTTCATCTACACTGGTTCTACTTTCATTCCCTGCTTCTGTGGACATAGGGGAGGCTGAATCAAGATTTATTATAATCAGTTTATTTCACCCATCACCAAGCATCAACACTTGGATATCTGTGTGCAGCGGCAGCAATCAGGCTACCAAGTGTGACATGTTATTTAAGTAGTTACAATTGTTTTCCAGTTGCTCCATTTTTTAAAATTAGGATATATCTTAAAATTATAATCTCCATGTCAACATACTTTATCTTTCATGTACTGCTATGACCCCAAAGCTGTGTTTTAGAAGTAAATTACAGTGAAAAAATCAGGGAACAAGAGAACATGGAAAACTTTGAGTCCTGAATTTTGCTTGCATTTCAGGGAATGGGAGGAATTGAATTCACAGTATTACAAAATGCAGTGTAGAATTAAGTGACTACAATAAACCACACATATGCATATCACATAATGCAGTTTTACATATTAACAGAGAAAAAATGAACAGAAATTAAATTTTCTCTTCACTTCTTACACAAAGAAAGTAAAATCAGACAGCAGCATGTAAAAGAAAATTGCATTTCCAAAACACTTTGTTGTAAAAATGACTGTGTGTTTCTACAATGGAGATGAATCTGTTGGCTTGACTGTGCTTATTGACCTTTGCTCAGAAACGTGTTCACTAGTTCTTCAGTCTGGGAGCCACTGCATATGACTAAATGTCTGCCTTCAGCTTCAAGACAACATTACAACGTGGCAGTGAATTTAGTTCTGCTTTTAATGCCTTTTTATCTTCTGCATCTTTTAGAATGGTGCTGTCTCTCTTGATGTAATTTGATATGATGTTTCAAAATTCCTTCCCATAAACTAAAATGTTCTTCAACTGCAAACAAATTTTTTTTATTTCTTTCCACTGGAAGCCTTTGGCATACTGCGGGCTCTACAGTGGAAAGGGCTGTGAATCACAAGCTATCGCCCTGTTTAAACAGTAAAACATAATAAATGCAAGGCGATAGCCTGCCTATTCCTCCCCCCACATGCACATTTGCCCTTCATGGTGCTCCACACGAACAAATAGGACATTATTTTTAGACTTTCGCTTCTCCAGAAGGAAGGCATGGAGGAGCTGCTGAGCAACCGCATGAAGGAATGCAGTAGCTAGTTCTCCAAAACAACCACCAAAATGGCTTCACCTGAGCCTCTGTTCTGAAGCAGTACAGCTTTCTTCCCCTGATTAAGTAACACTGAATGATGAAAATGGCACAGGGTGGCTCAAAGGCATGTTTTCACTTCTCAAGGGCTAATTTGAAGGAAATAAACTTGAAAAAGACAAACTTCACAACTTTTAAGAGCCTCATTACTGACCTGCATTAACTACAATTACAACAACCTTTGCCAGGTCCTGTGTAAGGAAACAAGTCAACTTCTTTTATATCTAATGCATGTTCTGGCTAAACTAAATTGTTATGTTATTAACATATGCATTGCTGAAATTTCAACCATTTTCAAACAGGTCATAGCAGTCTTGAATCATGTGAAGTTACAACAAAACACAGCAAACACCTTGAACCTCCATTTGTTACTGCTTTTATTGTCTGACTTGTTTCATGCTGGTATGTCTGCTGGTGTGCATGGAGGGCAAAGCAGACACCATGGCAGCGTTGCTTAGAGACCTAAACTCAACTCTAAACACCAAGGCGTATTAATTTGATCCTTAGTTTTGCAACACAATGGTAATTCTGAGAGCCCCAAAACAGGAGGATGGCCAATTCAAGCAGTCTTTTATTGCAGCATACAGAACCATGTGCTACCTGATTTCTGTTATTAACCATAGCTCCTTTCTTTATTCAGTCCTGATGCCACAACCAGGCCTTGCCATGGCTGATGTGGGGGAAGAAGCAAGTGCTGCAGAATTCATGAGTACTCATTCTGGTGCCACCACACACAGCACAACAAAGCCTGAGCACGTTACCTTTAAGCTGGGATGTTCACCGCAAATAAACAAGCTGCACAACTTCCAGCAGTATCACGAAGTCCTGATGAAATTAAACATCTGTTTTTACTGATGAGAAATTTGTCTATGCACCTGCATATTTCAAAGTCTGTGTGAAAATCACAGAATGTCAAGAGGTTGGAATGGACTTTAAAGATTACCCTGTCCCAACCCCCTTCCCATGCCATAGGCAGAGAAATCTCCCACTAGACCATGTTGATCAAAGCCTTATTCAACTTCAATGCTGCGAGGACTGAGGCACCCACAGCTTCTCTGGGCAATCTATTCCAGCGTCTCATCCACTATCACAGTGAAGGACTTCTTCCCAAAATCTCACTTAAATTTCATCTCTTCATTCGTACCCCTTACTGCTGGTCCTATCACTACAGAACCTGATGAACCTCCCTTCAGATACAGGAAGGTTGCTGTGGGGTGTCCACACAGCCTTCTCTTCCCCATCTCTTCACCAGCCACAGCTCCCTCCGCCTGTCTTTGTAGAGGAGGTGTTCCAGACCCCTCATCACCTTCATGGCCTCCTCTGGACTCATTTTCTTGTCCTTCTTCTGCTGGGGACCCCAGAGCTGGATGCAGTGCTCCAGGTGGGGTCTCACTAGGGCGGAGCAGAGGCAGAACGCCCCGCTGCCCGCGCTGGTTTTGACGCGGCCCAGGATGGGGCTGGTTTTCTGTCAAGTTTCAGATTTCCGCTGACTGACAAGCCTTTTCCCCAGCCGGGATAGGGCCGCGCAGGAGCCGGGCCCGGCCGCGCCGAGCCGCCCCCTCCCCGTGGCCCCGGACGGCGGCGGCGGCGCGAGGAGGGGAGGGGAGACGGGGGGGAGCGGCGCCCCGTGCGTGCCGCAGCCGGTCACGTGGGCGGCGGGACCGGGGCCGGGGCCGCGAGAGGCTGAGGCGGCGCCGGCAGCAGCGATGGCGGCGGCGGCGGCGGCGCTGGGCGGGCTCGGCCTCCTGCGCGCCCGGCTCAGGCTCGCAGCCGCAGCCGCCGCGACCTTCGCCGCCCTCGGCCGAACCGGCCACCGCGCGCCCCCGCTGCGCGGAGGCGTCGCCGCCGCCGCTCTCCCCTCGGCCGGGAGGAGCTACGGCTCCCAGGCGAAGGAAGAGGAGGAGCTGCGCGTCCGGTACCTGGATGATGAGCACAAAGGTAACGAGGGAAAGGCGGCTGAGCACCTGCCATCCCGGCCTGGCCGGGGTGACCCCTGCGGGGCAGAGAGAGGGCGGCCCTGGGGGAGCTGCCCGCCGGTGAGGGGCGGGGAGAGAGCGGAGGCTCCTCCTCCTTGTCACCGCGGCCGGGGTTGCGTCGCAGAGTGCTGGGAGCTGCCGATATGGCAGTGGCAGAACTGGGTCAGCTTGGTCTTTCTTGGCTCTTCATGTAGAACGGCTCGGGTTAGAAAGGTCGTTGAATAGTATCTGGTTCTAACTCCTCCGCCATGGGCAGGGACCCAGATGTGCTTAGAGCCCCATCCAGCCGTGCCTTGAACACTTCCAGGAATGGGGCATCCACAACTTCGGTGGCAACCTATTCCAGTGCTTCATCACCCTCACAGGAAAGATTTTCCTCCTATTAACTAATCTAGACCTATTTTCTTCCAGTTTGAACCAATTTCACCCTGTCCTGTTGCTACATGTCCTTATAAATAGTCTTGTCTCATCTTTCATGTAGGTTCCCTTCAGGTACTGGAAGGCTGCGACTAGGTCACTTCCAAGCCTTCTCATTTCTACACTGAACAGTTACAATTCTGTCAGCCTTTCTTTATAGGAGAGGTGTCCCATTCTTATCATCTTGGTGGCCTCCTCTGGACTCTTTCCAACAACTCCATGTCCTCCCTGTGCTGGGAGCCCAGAGCTGGATGCAGGTTCCACATGGGCTCTCCCAGAGCAGAGCAAAGGGGCAGAATCCCCTCCCTGCCCTGCTCTCCACTCTGCTCTGGATGCAGCCCAGGACACGTTTGGCTCTCTGGGCTGGGAGTGCCCATGGCTGGCTCATGTCCAGCCTCTCACCCACCAGCACCCCCAAGTCCTTCTCACAGGGCTGCTCTGTATCTGTCAGTGATGATACTGGGGTTTGTCCTGACCCAGCTGAATCACCTTGCACTTGATCTTGTTAAAACTTATGAGATTCCCATGGGCCCACTCCATGAGCCTGTCTAGATTGCTGTGGATGTCCTGTCCTTGAGGTGTGTCAACAGCATCACTCCTCTTTTCCAGAGTGCTGCAGTATATGTACTATGTTTGTGAGGTACACCTCTGTGAACTGGCATCTGTTTGCTACTCTAATTGTGAGAAAATGAAGTTCAGCAGCAAATGTCTGGAATCATGCTGCTTCAGACATCAGTTTTGCGCTTGTGTGCAGGGGGCAGAGAGAGCATAAAACTGATATCCATGCTTTCTGTGGAAGGTATGGCTTCAGTATTCTCTTATCTCATGCCACTCTCCTAGTAATCATGTCATCTTCCTCCTTGCTTTTAGTGCTGTCAACTAGTACTCACTTTTTTCTACTCAGCTATACCAAGAGTCTTCTATTAACTCACCTGGTCAAAAAAAAAAATAAAATTCTGCGCTCCTTAATGACGTGCAGCCAGTGCATCACAGCACAGACACTTTGTACTTCCTCTTCTGATGTGATGCTGTCTGGATTTTGAAAGTGTTCCACTTCCTTTGGTGTTTGTCAATTTGTTCCCTTGTGAATGCAGCAGAAAGGTGGAGGAGAAAGCAAGTGCAAACTCTGTTCCTGAGGATTTATTTCTCTAGCCATGATGTTATACCTGCTTTTACAGACAGGGCCATAGTATAGAGCTTTGGTATCTGCAGCATATGAATCTCTTTACATGGAGAATATATCTTGGAACCACCATGTGTTGAGATGTACAGTTTAGTTTATGTCTGTGAGCACATTAACTCAGCTATTTCACACCTACTGGCAGTTAAGCAAATGCCAATGAGTTGAGTATGCCTGTACATAGATTTGTATACATATACAGAGAGGTAACTTTAAAACTTTGAATTTTAGTATGAGCTTAGATGATTATCCTTTCATTTTCAAGGGAAAACTGATGTTGTGCTTTCATCTGAGGGCAGGTTTTTATCATTATTTAGGATTGATAGTAAAGATGATATAATCTGGTCCTGAAATTATCTTCTGTAGTTCTGTTTCCAACTCTTTCCACTTCCTTTAAAAAGTACTACTTTAGTCCTGTTTTTCCAGCTGACTCTGAAACTTGGAATTAGTTTCAAACATCTATCCAGAGTCTTTTGGGATTATTTTAAGTTAAGGAAGAGACAAGACAGGAGCAAAGAAGAGTTTGTAAAATGTTAGAAGAGTGTTTTTCTTTGTTTATTTTGTGCTTTACCAAGAAGTGGTAGAAAATATCATGATCTTACATGGTAATCAACTTTTATTTTTATTACACAACAAACATAGAATTAGGCAGTGTGTTCCAGCTGTTGAATTGGCCAGGAATCATTGTTTTTATAATGTTATGAAGGTGTTTCATACTGAATATGTAGCCTAGAGCCCCAAAACTTGGAGATAGTATTTGTAATGTTAAAGCAGCTCTTGCTATCATAAGGAAGGATTCTTAATTAATGAATTCTCTTAAGCGGAAGGAATTTTCTTTGGTATTGTCTTTCAGAAGGACACAGAAACAAACACTGTTTGTTAGAAAAAGATAAGAACAAGGATGTAGAAGTAGGCCAGAAGGAGACATTAACTTCATATGCCTTCTTCAGCAGCACAAAGAGCACGCAACATTTCCACAAAAGTAACATGGCTCTACTTCCTCCCTGTCGTGCTAGCACACCCTCTTCTCCTCACCTTGTATACCAAGTTTATCTATATTTCCCTACTTACAGCATGTAATATCTCTGCTTAATGAGGACGGCAGCTCTGTAAACACCCCTCTGGTCTTTCTTGCTCTTCTCTACCCTGCCATTCCTTGATCTACCGTTTCATGTTCTTGGCTTCCCCACACGGTACTCTGGTGCCCCGTGGCCTCATCACACCATCCCCTTACATACTTCTTGACTTGGTGCGTGCATGCTCAGACCCTGCTCTCTGACTGCCTCCTATGGCACGTTCATGCTTGTTGATGCTATGGTTGTGCTCTTGCACATGCCAAGCATTTCCACGTTGCTCAGAGAGGACTGTGGATACTCGGGAGGAAGGAAAACTGGCTGTACCTGCCTCACGTACAGGCCTATGTCTTGTAGCACTAGACAAATCTTTGCCTGTAGGCAAAGTAGCAAACTGTTGTGCTTCATATCACTTCCATGTGATTTGCATACCCCAGGTCTTGAGAGGTTGTTAAACATGAAGTCAAACGAGACTGTATTTGCAAAGGCTAGTTATTGGAATTTTAACTCAAGGCATTCCAGCTTCCAAATTTGAAATCTGACCAGAACTAGAATACAACAGGTGGGGGGTTTTTGAGGAATGTGACTGAAAAATACCTATATATTCTGCCCATGTTGCAGCTTGTGAAGCTCTTAGTGTCAGTTTTCTGTGAGTAAAGATGACTGTCAGTGTATTAATTTTTTTAAAATTAAGCATATATCTTTTACTTTTTTTGAGATTTTATTTGATCATCACTGGGGCTGAAATGTATTATTGTTAGTCACATTCTAGAAATTAGCCAAATTACATTAGTGATCCCATTACAAATTTAAATGACCTTAGTGCTTTGGATTTTTAAGTTATAGGTGCCATGGGGAGAAAAATCTTTTTAGTCTTGATTCCAGTGTGATGGTGACACTTGCTGGAATGTGATATAAATATTTTTAAAATTTAGATTTTACACTAGAATGACTCCTTATGGTCAAATTTCCCAGCTGGTTTTGGTTCAGTTTAGAATTAGACAGCTTTTGGTCTTCATCAGTTGGAATTCTAATATACGTGGAATGGGCAGAAACAAATACAGTCTTGGTTGAAGTTGTTTGCTCAGAGGTTGATGTGATAGCTAGCTGATAAATTGGAAGAACTTCCCATCCCTTTGCCGTGTTTAAAGCAAGGCTGAGCAGGTGAGATTTATTAACTTAAGAAGTGCAGAAAAGAGGTCAGAATTTAGAGGTGAAACAGGCTGAGATAGGAGATTTTGAAGAGTGTTTTGGTGCTTTTAAAAACTGCTGGTTAGTACACATCTGTGTGATTTTTCACTTAAATACTTCTTTAAGATAATTAATGAAAGCCACCAGAATTGTGCATGATATATTCACCATATGTTCCTGTTTTGCTTAAGAAGCTACTTCAGAATAATAAACATCTAAGTCTACTTGTTTGCCTTGGTGTATCTGAGTAGTTAAGTGAAACAAGCTTAAAATTAACTTACTTTGATCCCCCTTCAACTTTTCAAAGCACAATTCAGACTTTTAAAAATATTTTTTTAACTATGAAAAATGACTTGTGTGTGTGTATTTAATGCAAATAAATAATAAAATAAATACAAATAAAAAGAATTCTGCAAGTACTTTATATGCAGATGTAGTGAATATTTCAAACTCTGGCACAATGTCTAATATTGGTTTAAAGATAAGATTAATTTTTAAGTAACCATTTAAATGTGTTTCTACCAAACACTGAGGATGATCTTTTGATCTCTAACAGTGCAAGATAAAAGAGATAAAAAACATTATTAAAAGTAAGATCTCCTGTGTGCTGATACAAACAGTAGTTAAACCAGGATCTAATCTCCTCACTTTATTCAAGTATTAAATGTAGTATATGCTTTGAAACCAGAATGTTTCTGGAAATTTATGAATATTTTAAAACTATCTTCCAGA